GAGAGAAAGAAGAGAAAGGAGGAAGAGAGAGAGAGAGAGAGAGAGAGATCCAGATCCAGATGTGGCAGCTGAAAGCTCATGAAAATTGAAAAGAAGTTCCGCTGAAAATGAAGCTGGAAATTAATGGAATGGAATGGAAGTGATAATAAGAAGAGCTAAAGTGAGGATATCCACTAGGATTGGTCAGGGGTGGGGCATGCATGTTGAAAATAGTTGAGGCAGAGAGCTTCTTTTTTCAAAGGCAGTTGGTGTTCGCATTAACTCTCCCAACACGGTTTTGCAGATGAGAAGATGAGCAAAATTTAAGGCCAATTCTACCATCTCCCCATCTTAGCCCTTCACGTCCATGTCTATATATACTCCCCTCTCTCTATCCCCCGCTTCACAAACTAAGCTTTCATCTATAGTTCAGTACTTCCATCTCTATCCAACTATAAGAGATGACTTCTTCTTCTAGGCTTCTTCTTCTTGTGCTCTTTGGTGCTTTCGTTTTCACCACTGGTGCAAGGAAGCTTGGCAGTGAGAAGGCTTCCTTTGAGGATCAGAAAAACTTCTTTCACCACGGCGGTGGCGGGCTAGGGGGTGGAGGTGGTGGTGGTCTTGGAGGCGGTGGAGGGTTAGGCGGCGGTGCTGGTGCTGGAGGAGGAGCTGGTTTTGGTGGTGGTGCTGGAGCTGGAGCTGGTGGCGGACTTGGAGGAGGCGGCGGTGGAGGCTTTGGTGGTGGTGGCGGTGGAGGACTTGGGGGTGGATCAGGTTTTGGCGGGGGAGCTGGTGGAGGGTTTGGGGCTGGCGGTGGTGCTGGTGGTGGAGGAGGGTTCGGAGGTGGTGGTGGTGGAGGACTTGGGGGTGGAGCAGGCGGAGGTTTCGGTGGCGGAGCAGGCGCGGGTGGCGGGCTTGGAGGTGGATTCCCTTGAAGACGTGCACGCATGAAGCTACATGCACTTCCAAAACAAACATTCATCTTAAGTAATTAATTAAGTAGTATTGTCTCCCTCTGTAAGCTTAAGCTCTTTATGAGTTTATGTTAGGGAGTGTTTGTTGTCGTTTGTTGTCATCCTGAATTAATTTGTTTAATTCTTGCGTCGAACAGTGATTGAAGACACAAAGCTGATCTTCAAATGAATGTTAGCCGAATGTGCTTTAATATGTCCATGCATGCTCGCTCTACTATATTATCTTGCCACCTCAATTAATTTAACATGCTTTTAGTTACTGCAAATAGTTCCTAAGGGCTTCATACTTTGGATCTGACTGGTGACAATTGCTCATATTTCTTGAGAAAATACTTCCCGCCTTCTCTAAGTAAATATAAACTTATACATTTGTGTCGGTGGAAATATGAAATGTGTGTAGAAGTTTTTCTCTTTATATTTTTAATAAATTATTTTTTCACATATGTCAAACGTTATTTGCAAAAATGAGAGAAACAGTATCCTATTTATTGTAGTGGATATCTATGGCTAAGCTCTCTCTCAACCACGATGAATTTAGTACCCATTTAACTATACTTTTGAATCAAACTTTTTCTCTCTCGGTACGTAATAAGCTTTATAAGAGTATCTTCAACAAACCCGTCTTTTTTTGCTAAATTTTAGTTAATAATATGAGTGCTAGAAAATGATTTTGGCTAATGACTTTTACGAGGCTACTCTCATTTTTGGTTCGAAGTCAAGTCTGCTTGGAAAAAATATAACATTTTAACTAAAATGACAATTCAAGTGTGATTGGAGAAAGGGTATATATATTATTTGTACGAATTAAGATCACAGACTTTAATCCAAAGGACATACATACAGAGTGTAATTCAAAGAGTAAGTGGCTGGTTGATCACTTCCCCTGTTATAAATTTTTAATGTTTTTACGAATTAATGTTTTTATCATTTGAATGTGAAATGGTGTTTGATCTGTTGGGCAGCCGCTATGCATGCATGAATCAGGTTGTGATGGTTCAAATAAACAAAATAAAATGTTGTGACTTTTGCATTTTAATTTGAAGATATACAACTGTTCTCTTTAATAAAGAGTGATGTTATTTCCACTCCTGTTCTATTTCTGTACTCATGATATTCAAAATTTTAAAGACAAATTTACCTCTTTGTCTCTTTAAGGACTTCAGGAAAAAACCTCAACTCACGTAACTCACCTATTCTATTGTCATAACTAGAGAAACATTAGCATTTGATGATGATTGAACTTGGTCTTTTAAAGTTTTAGTTTGTTTAGGCTGAAGAAGAAGGCTTTCTTACTTTTTCTTATCTTTTTGGCTTCTTTTGATAACTTGGTTTTTTGAAGTCTTAATTTGTTTAGCCTGAAGCAGAAAGTAGGCTATAGCCTCCTCAATGAACCAAATTTTCTTGTTATGTACTTGTTGATCAACATGTTCCTGATGGAAACTAAGTTTTGATTATTACTGCTCTAGATTTTCTAAACTATACTATTTTATTTTTATTTTTCATTTCAGCCCTTTGAGATTCATTCTAACTGCTTAGGTTTGTATTGCAAGAAAAGTTCTAACTGTTTAGTTTGACTATGGAAATGTTGAGAAATATATTTTGAAAGATTTGGATATGTTTACCCAGTGGTTCTATATATGTGCTTCATTTGTCTGTCCATTGTTTGATTTTATTTCATGTTTAGCAGTTCAATTATTTTCCTTTTTTGTTTTTTTGGGTTTGCAAGGTGTTGTTTATATTCCTTTCACTTTTCTCTTTGAGTGTTGCTAAACGAATTCTAAAATTAACTAAGTGTATACCCTAATATTTTAATCAAAATATAAAATTAAATAAGTACACCATATTTAACCACAAAAAATACTCCTGATACACCCTTACACACTCTATCACATACCTTAATACCAATCCTAAACAAGGTTTCTCTTTTTACATGAATTCGTGCCATTTTTCAGATTTTGGGTTTGCATTAAAATCTTTAATTTCGTAAGTTGTTGTGGGAGTAGATTTGCTAGCTCCTTCAACTCAAAGCTTGATTCTTGTAAATTCTTATTCTTATTTTTATTTGTTTCTTATTTTTGGATTGAACATATCATCTTATGAAAGTTTTATGGGGTCATTTCTTTTTTATGGGTAATGGATCATTATGACCTTCATAGAAGGGATTTGAAGTACAAAGGAAGGAACATTGTTTGGTCACTTGCAATGGATAAGTGTTTAATTGATGCCCTTCTTGTTCAAGCTATAAAAGGAAACAAAATTAACAAGTGCTTTAATGAAAATGCCTACACTAATGCTTGTATTGCTGTGAACTTTCCCTGCATCTCCGCAAGTGCTTGATGCATTGTTCGCCGTGGGCACCAAGCAATACAAAAACTTCTCTACGTTTGATTAAGGTTAAATATGGTGAGTAGGGTGTACTTATTAAAATTATATTTGTTTCATAATTCAATATATCATTTTTGGTCATTTTATATTATGATAAATTAGTAATTCAATAAAAACTAAAAGAGTCAGAAAATTAAAATATTAGACTAAAACATTTATTCAGTCTGTCAAACACAACTTGATCCTCTCCATATCTCAACTACTGATGATTAGCAAAGAGAATTTGCTTGAATTAATAATTAAATGGTATTTTATGAATAATGGTGGGTGGAAAGATAGAATTGTGTTGTTTCAAATTTATATAGTGGGTGGGGAAATATGGGGTGGAAATAGCAGCACTTTTAATCTTTCTTAATAGTTACTTCTTAATAATCTCTTCAATGAAAAACACAAACTTCTTATAATTGAAAATGGAGAAATTTTGAGGAAGAAATGACGTGATAGTTAGATTTAAATTATTATTATTATCAATGTTAAATGACTGATATCAACTTCTGGATCCAACATATTAATAAAGGATAATGCTTCCCTCCTTGCCCATATGGAGGAACTCCTCCTTACCTACTAATGTGGCTCAACACCAAACTAACATTTGTCCTTTTTTATTTATTCTCAAAAGTGTATTTATTTTACTTTAATTATTCTTAACCAGAGAGATACGTGTCATATTGTGGGTAAGCCACATCAGTAGGCAAGGAAGGAAGCATTATCCATTAATAAACCCTATAACCAAATAAGATATTAAGTGTAAACAAATAATATATGAAACCCTTAAATATATATATATATATGTATATACTATATATACACATAAAAGTTTTAGTCTCTTTGCCTCCTTTAGCAGAAAAGCTTGTATGAAACAGGGATAACATTGTTTTACTATCCTCGACCAATCACATCCTGTCACGTGAAAAAGTTATCACACATGACATACTGTAATTAGCTACTATCCCTGTTTCATGTAATTAGCTGCTATCCCTGTCACCTACATCCTTTTCCTCCTCTCCTTTCTCTCTTCTCCTTACCTCCTAGACCTCATCCCCTCCATTTATGCTCACCCATCCTATGCAGCAATTCAGTTTTGGTTAAGTTTGGTGGCTGCTTGGCTGTCTAAATGAGGATGTGGAGGCAAAATGGCTATTATTTTCTTGTTTCGTGTTGTAGTTTTTTGAGTTGTATCACGTGGATCAACTTATTTGAGTTTGTTGCGTGTTTGTAGTATCTACTTTATTTTTTACATGTGAGAGTTAAAAAGTTGTAGTTTGGTGTGCTAAGGTATGTGCAAGGAAAAAACCATGAATTTTTCAACGAGTGGGGTAGTAAAGTTATTGGCTTACATCTAATGATAATTTTTCTAGAAATAAAAAATATATTAAAGCATATAAACCACACTAGTTCATAGCTCCATTGACTAATTTCCAATAAGCTTTTACATAAAATAAATATATGTGAAATGCACTAAAAAACACACAATATCACAAATGAAAATATGTTCAACAGAATTGAAATTGAACATATTGAAGTTGTCCCCTATGATCCTTGAGAGAATTGAAATCTTTTGTTAGTGTTTATGAATCGATATTGTCAGCAAATTATTTTTCAATGTGGACAATTGTTGAGGCCCAAAAAATCCACGGATGGGCCCAAATAAATTCCTGGCCCAAAATGACGCATTATTCAGAAAAAGGCTCAATTTGGAGCACGCAAAGATTCACCATGCATGAATCACACTTCGCATGTCATGCCAAATAAATAATCCATCATGCTAGGAATCGAGATTAAGATTGTAAAATACGTTAGATCTACAAATCTGTGCTAATTATCCCGTCAAGCATCATAATTAAAAAACATGCCAAGCAACATCCCACACCAAACGGGAAATTGTTATGTCACACCCAACCACGCTACAAGCCTAAGTGGGCCTAAACCACAAAATTACCTGGGGCTTGCTGAGAAGGTTGTGGTATGGATGAGAACAAGCGATCGCAGGGCACATTGAGGACTCGTTCCTAGAGCCCAAATACATGGGTTAGCATGAGAGAAAAAGGAAAAGATAGTCCAATGCCTTAGGAGGACACCTAGTAGCCTGCCATAATACTTAGACCAGCCCACATCAATAGAATGCCCAAAATTAATAAAGCCATTTCCAGCAGCTTGACGAAAACTTATCAAACGCTGGAAATAATAGGCCAACAACCGAATACCGTGCATACAAGCCCAGCCCAACAACTTATAAAAATCTGGCACCAAGTTCCACCCCTGTTAGAACTCTAAGGACGGTCAACAAAGGAGCCATGGCAGAGATCGAAGGAAATCTATGAAGGTAGGAAGAATACCCATCGGACAAAAAGCTCTACCCATCTTCTTTTCCATTACAAGTTTCATTTGGAAAACCAAGAAGGAAAGCAAGTAGCTCCTCACCGGGGAGGTCCAACTGCATCAAACCCTTGGAACCACAAAGGGCTCCTTCCTCATACGCCTTGGATAGGAAAATTTCACCAAATATGATTGAATAGGAAGGGCAAAGAAAAAGGGAAGAAAAAGGCTATATAAAATTAGGGTTCTTTGTGCCTATAAAAGGGAGTTTTCTCTACCCAGCAAAGCCATCATCCAGAGCCTGACCAAGCTTTGTCAAGCAACCTAGAATTTACTCAAGCCACCCAATCCTCTTCCTCCGTTGTTTTCCTCTTTTTCTCAGATAAAAATCTTTCTAAATTTCCTCTGCCCCAGTTTAAATTTATGTCCTCTATAAGAAAATCATGTTTTTCTCTCTCTCAAATTGCTAAACTTGTGAAAGCTTAGCTCTCATGCCACAAGCTCCTCAAGCTAAGT